ATAATAATAAAGTAAGGGCGAGTGGCTGATTTTAGAGCAGAGGGAGGATCGGGGTCAGGATAGAACCAACCAACTACACACCCAAGAAAGTTACTCCTACTTCCTGTCTGAGAATGATTACATGACCTCCCTCAGACAGCAGCACCTCCATCACTGCCTGCCAATAATGCTGAGTGGAGGGCATAGAACAGACTCTGCAGGACGGCATAAGGAAAATGTAAGATGCGGATAATGAGAAAGCCATCAGAGATCTGTAAATATAAAAGACTTGTAACAAAAAAGCCCTGACCCCATAGTTCTCCTTTAAAGGAAAATTTCTCCCATGATTCAAACATTTCCCACACTGATTCCACTTAGAAAATGTGTGAACGTTGGGTGAAAACCTCTATAGAGACCCCGGAAGTCTAGTCCATGCCCGTAGCAGTTTGTTTGTGATAACATTTCCCCGGCGTGATTTATTATTTACTCTACTCTAGATCCGCTTTAATGATACTTAATTGCCTCACATGAGGGGATATTCCGGGAAAAAAAAAAAAGGATCTCCATCATCTACTATGTAGACGGAGATGTGAGGAGCCTCCCAGCTAGAGCAACAAATGTTCAGCGGTGCCGAGGACTGCGGGAGATATTGACGAAGAAGAATCAATGAAACTTTGTATTCCGCGCATTGCGCTCAGGCAGAAGTCATCAAAAAGCTTGTGCCGGTGAAATGACAGCATAACCTTTCCAATTTCTAATATGTCTCCATAGATCGAATTGTGACATGAAACTCTTAACTCCTTAAGGACCAATGATGGAATAATTCCGTCATGCGTCCTTAAGGGTTGTAAGCTTCCCTCATGCACTATATGAGAACTTATATATGAATGTGTCACATCAAATAAAAGCCCCTTTTTGCCCTTTAAAAAACGGTATATAATATGTGTTGGTGCAACAAATGAAAAAAGGTGGAAATTTGCGGTTGAACACACACACAGCAAAAATGTGCTTTGGTCCTTAACTGAAAGAGAAGCATCTGAAGCTTGGTGCTTAAGGGGTTCATTAAGAACAGTCTGTGCTGCCAATACCCACCAATCAGGTCCAAGCTGAGACAGAGAGAGGAGCAGGAGGGAGTGCGGCAGAGAAGAGAAGGAGGGAGTACGAGAGACAGAGGAGCAGGAGGGAGTACGAGAGACAGAGAAGCAGGAGGGAGTACGAGAGACAGAGGAGCAGGAGGGAGTACGAGAGACAGAGAAGCAGGAGGGAGTACGAGAGACAGAGGAGCAGGAGGGAGTACGAGAGACAGAGAAGCAGGAGGGAGTACGAGAGACAGAGAGGAGTACGAGAGAAATAAAACAGAAATGTTACTTGTGTTTTGGAGCAAAAATAGACTTTGACCCTCTATAAAAAAAACGCTTGCGGGGTAATTAATTACATGTTAACGACAGTTCAGAAAGCTTTACGGTTTTCTCTAACCGAGTAAACGCAACATCGAATCGATACTTGGTCACGTGACCAGTGACCACTGCTGACTTTCCCAGAGGATCTCACGGGCAAAAGTAAGCTGGTCACTGGATTTGCCTAAACAGTCCCCAAAATGGCAGAGGCCAGGTAACCAATGCCATGGCACTAGTCACATGATCTGGCAAGTCCGCTATCAGACCACACATGCAAACAAAGAAGAATTCATTTTTTTTTTTACCTCTGGAATATTGGAGACGATTTCAACAATAACTCCGCAGCTTGTGATGTTGCTCCGGTGAGCCATTCTTCTTAGAAAATTCTGAGCGAAACCCTACAAAAAGAGAAAAAACAAAAAAGGTGTAAAATAATACTAACATAACACCGCAACAAAAACCCTCAATCGGGAACCCTCAATCTGCCTCTAGATAGGCAGAGCCAGCTGTCCGTCACGCAGCTGGAAGCGGATCCAGACATAATTGTCGGGATCCGTCCCGGCTGTGGCGTCTCAGTATACCGTGAGCTGCTATATACTGAGCCTAGGGTGACGGGAGGACGCTAGTTTATGTCCTCCCGTGACCCTGAGGAGAACTATGAGGAAAAACCCTGACCCCATAGTTCTCCTTAGGATAACGGGAGGACACAAACTAGCGTCCTAACATCACCCTAAGCTCAGTATATAGAGAGCTGTAGCTGGCGGTATACTGAGACGCCGCAGCTGAAGCGGATCCCGACAATTATGCCTGGATCCGCTTCCAGCTGCGTGAGTGACAGCTGGCTCCGCCTATCTAGAGGCAGAGCCGGCTGTACCCGCCCCCTCCCCCGTACGTTCCGCCAGTCAGTGCTGGCAGATCGGAGCGGGGAGGGGGGAATCCAGCCCCTCCCCTGTCACGGCAGAGAGCCGTGACAGGATCGAGAGGTGAGCGAACGCCGGTATGTGTTCGCTCACCTCCCGATCTACTGAGCCGACCTGCGACAGTCTCATTGTCACAGGTCGGGTAGAACTATGAGGTGAGTGAAAAGCCCCTCCCCCTCATCGTTCTCCTTTAAGTCTGTGGCCCCATAGTCAGAGATCACAGAGAAGTCGGAAAGTGCCACATTTTGTATAAATTGGAAACAATCCCATATATCGGAGGAGACACTCCATGCAGACCCTTTCCTGCTATTCCCTAAAGCTGGACTCCAGGCAAATGGCTGAATTCACGTTTACACATCTACATGTAGAAGTCGTTTTGTTGGCCAAAAGATTAGTAACTCGGTTCAGCAATATTATGGTGCTACTGCCGGACAGATCAGTCAGTTCCTGCGCCCCCTGGGACCTCACTGCAGACTGGTCTAGGACCCAGGATTGGGAAAATAAAAGAGTAGCAGGTCATAAATAAGGATCCTCTGGGGGACCCGTGACCACGGCATAGGAGCTCACCATAGAGCCCGTAGAGCAGACGAACAACGTCCGTTCTTCGTCTGCTCTGTGTGATCATGGAGACTGTAATCACAGCGCCACCTGTCTCAGCTGTAACTAACTACACAGAACCCGACCCTCCCCTAGGTGCGCCTTATGGAGCGCAAAATACGGTAAATCTTTCATTTGGTATATGGTTATATAAAAAAAAAACAGTTTTTATTGAAGGCTGACAAATGCACAAACATGCAAAATTAAAAAAAATATTAATTTTGTAATACTCTAATTGTATTTGACAATGGCAGTATTAAAAAGGAGAACTATGGGGTTAAGTATTTTCCCCATAGTTCTCCTTAGGGTAACGGGAGGACACAAACTAGCGTCCTCCCGTCACCCTAGGCTCAGTATACCGCAAGCAGCTGCTCGCGGTATACTGAGACGCCGCAACTGAAGCGGATCCCGACAATTATGCCGGGATTCGCCCAGCTGCGTGACTGACAGCTGGCTCTGCCTATCTAGAGGCAGAGCCAGCTGTACCCGCCCCCTCCCCCATCCGTTCCGCCAGTCAGCGCTGGCGGATCGGAGCGGGGAGGGGGGGGAATGGCAGCAATATTTGCTGCCATTATAGTAATTGTTGTCTTCACGAGCTCTGATCTAGTTTGCGTTTTTCCTCACATTGCCTCAACGTCATGACGGAAGAGGCACCCAATTCTCACCTGGCGGCTGTAGACATTGACGCATATGCGCTTGCGTAGGACCAGCTGCATCTCGGCGGGGTGGCTCAGCTGCACCGTCACTCTGACAATGAGGTAAACTCTCTCGTCTGCGGAGGAACCTTTGCTGAGCTGCGGGCAGTTGTGGACGGTGCAGTCCCAGGAGGCCTCCGCCTTCACCTGAAAGAGTACAACAACATGAACGACAGTAGGGGCAATGATTGCAAATATTTACACTGGTGCAGTTTGAAAGGGGGCAACTTCCGAGATACCTTGTTCCTGTCAATTCAGCCCTTTCCTCCCCAGCCGGACGGTCCCTGGCCCCGCCCCTTTTATTGCTTTTCAATTGTTTCAATCACGGAGGCTCAGCATCACATGTGGGCGTTACCTAGGGCCGTCTGCATGCAAATACAGCCTGCCTAGGAACGCCCACTAGCTCTTTCCTCACCACTCTATGTCCCGCCCCCTTTCATTCATTCGATTTCAGTTCATCCAATCATGGAGGCTCAGCATCACATGTGGGCGTTACCTAGGGCGGTCTGCATGCAAATACAGCCTGCCTAGGAACGCCCACTAGCTCTTTCCTCCCCACTGTGACTGTCCCTGACCCCACCCCTTTTATTGGATTTTAGTGCTTCCAATCATGGAGGATCAGCATCACATGTGGGCGTTACCTAGGGCGGTCTGCATGCAAATACAGCCTGCCTAGGAACGCCCACTAGCTCTTTCCTCACCACTGTGACTGTCGCTGACCGCGCCCCTTTTATTGGATTTTAGTCCTTCCAATCATGGAGGCTCAGCATCACATGTGGGCGTTACCTAGGGCGGTCTGCATGCAAATACAGCTTGCCTAGGAACGCCCACTAGCTCTTTCCTCACCACTGTGACTGTCGCCGACCGCGCCCCTTTTATTGGATTTGAGTCCTTCCACTCATGGAGGCTCAGTATCACATGTGGGCGTTACCTAGGGCGGTCTGCATGCAAATACAGCCTGCCTAGGAACGCCCACTAGCTCTTTGCTCACCACTGTCTATGGCCCGCCTCTTTCATTCATTCGATTTCAGCTCTTTCAATCATGGAGGCTCAGCATCACATGTGGGCAGTTTCCATGCAAAAACAGTTTGCCGAGGAATGCCCAATCCCCCCAGACTGACACCCACCTATTAAGGCATTATTATATTTGCATAACTCCTCCCAAGAGACCGCCCACTGCATGCATCAGGCCTGAGGGCTCTTGAAAGGGGTGCTACAGCACCCTGCCCGCCGCTTCCACCAGCCTGCCTGCATTGCATAGAGGAGCAGCACAGAGACTCGATGATGATGTCACGGAAAACGCTCGGATACAAACCTCATTCTCGTGGAATTTGACTATCTGCAGTTCAAAGAACTCGTCTTCCTCTTCGCTGGTGAGTGTTGCGTCCCATCCGGCCGCCTCTGGTTCATCCAGATTATCCTGCGAGCTGAAATCATCCGCTGAAAGACAACAGAAGTAAAATGAGGCCGATATTCCCTGCCGGCTTGTGTCTCTCCCGTGTTACAGAATGACTCCATAAAGTAATAGTTACAGGCAAACCAGAACATGAAACTATGTTCAAATTCCTTATTTCCCGTGCTCCTCAGCTCCATCTAGTGGCCTAATGAATCATTACAACACACTACATTCAAACTGGGGAAAAAGTATATGACGTACCTATGTTTATTGCATTATTCACCCAAAATAAATGTTCACATATATTCACAGGGCAAAGGGCCTGTTTGTCAATAGACTCCTTACTGTTCATGAGTCTTTATACCTCTAGCAGTTACTGATAGGGATGCACCGATACCGATACTAGTATCGGTGCCGAGTATTCGGGCGAGTACGCCTAGCCCTATATCTTCCGGTATCAGGAAGCTGGGCAGCGCGTCATTACACGCTTCCCGGATTCCTGATTGGCCGGGAAGCCGGCTCCATGCTCCCTTACATGGAGCCGGCTTCCTGGCCAATCAGGAAGCCGGGCGCCGTGTAATGACTCGCTGCCTGGCTTCCTGAGTGATCGGGAAGCTGGCTTCATGCTCCCTCATCGCCTCATGACGAGGCAGCCTGGCCACGTGCCAGGCTTCCCGATTGGCCAGTAAGCCTGCTCCATGCTTTCTAGACATGTGCGATTCGTTTCGTTACGAATCGAAATTCGTACGAATTTTCCTGAAATTCCGAATTTCGGAGCATCCGAAATCCGAATGGCAGTTTCCGAATTATATCCGAAATACGAAATTCCGTTAACGAATTTCGGATCCGAATTTCTTTGAAACAGGAACTAATATTACCCCTGTAAATGAGGTTGAACAGCATGACAAGATTTTTTTTTAATCCGAGATACGGATCCGCTGCTGCTGATGCATTAAAACACACAGGCAGGAAATACGAAATTCCGTTGACGTATTTTCGTTCCGTTACGAACATTCGTTATATTGAAGGTAAAAAGCAAAGTACATTTATATTGGAGTTGATGGTAGTTTTTTTTTTTAAAGTCCGAAATACGGAATTCGGAATACGGAATCCGTTAACGGAATTCGTATTTCGGATAAAAAAACAACTACCACTCCAATATTAACAAAGGTATTTTGCTTTTTAACTTCATCATAACGAATGTTCGTAAAGTTACGAAAATATAACCGCCACTAACGAAAATTCGTATTTCGTACGAATCCGAGTCCGAATTGAGTTCAGTTACGAATTACGAAATACGAAATAACGGATATTCCGAAACGAAAAGAAACAGAACAAATTTTTTGACGGCGCACAAGTCTAATGCTTTCGCGTCACCTAGTGACAAGAAGCATGGGGACGGCTTCCGTGCTAATTGAGAAGTCGGGTGGCGAGTCTTTACACGTCGCCTGGCTTCCCGAATGGGACTTCCGGTATCGGTATTCCGTATCAGCAAGTACCAAAAAAAAAAAATATTGGTACGTACAATTGGGAACGTACAGGGTTCTTGTTGACTTTCCAGGAATCTTAAAGAGACCCTGTCACCAGGTAAAAGCATTAAAAAAATCATGCATTATAAATGCGTACTAGCAACGTCTTTCCATTCCATTTGTTAATTGACTCACAATGTGCCTTTGAAGTTGCAAAGAAATTTGACTACTCTGGGAAGAGTCAATTCCCTAGCACAGCCCCCTCCCAAGTCATAGCCCCCTCCTGGGAATGCCTAATTACTGGCACAGCTCCTCCACCCCTCCCTATATAACCTTTAATGTGGCTGCAGGGGGAGGAGTGACGGGTCACTTGAGTGACAGTTTTGAGTCTGCTGAGGCTGTGACATCACATCCAAGATGGTGGCGCCCAGCAGCAGTCACGGGGCTTTTGAAAGTCCACACAAGGGGAGGTTTTCACAGCTTACACATATAGTCTTATGGGAGGATATTAGTGGACATGAATGGTCTGGTGACAGGGTCTCTTTAAAGCCAACCTATGCTTTGGCAACAGGTTCACTTATGTCAGCTGCCATTACTGACCTTCATATGTAACATGCAGCCCTGACACATGCTAAAGATCTTCTCACATGTAGCCCAAAACAGGGCTGTAGCTACCATGGGGCGAGTGAGGCACTCGCCTCAGGCGCAGCTGAGAGGGGGCGTAGCCAGGGCCAGCCTGGCTGCGCCCTGCGGCACCTGTTGCCATGGCGAGCACAGGGCGCCATTGGAAACAGGGGCGCCAGACGTCCAACACAGCTTCTCCTCGCATTCCCCACAGCTTCTCCTCGCACTCTGTGTCCTCAATCTCTTTTTCTATTTCAAAAGGGAAATGTCAGAGGTCTGTTTAGCCCCACAGAAAACACACACGCACGTGCGTGGCATTGGGTGACATAACACGTCTGTTGGGGGCCACAATTTTCTGTTCTTGCCTCGGGTGCAAAAGGAGCTAGCTACGGCTCTGGCCCAAATTATCTGTATAATGTAGATCATTAGAATTAGGAATTACCATTGAGATCGAGGAATATAACAGGGATATGCGTCTCCATTCCGGCAGCCGGCGTCCTGCAATGACAAAACAAAACAATGCCAGTGAAACATTCACAGCTGCATTCACCTAGGGTCAAATGTGTACCATGCCTGGAGAACATACTGCCCTAGGCACCTTCTTGTACTGCTCATACACAAAATGTCCAGCAGCCGCCTCTACAGCACTCGGTCTGGCCCTGGTTCAGAGTTGACATAAGCACACTGGCAACGGTGACCGGAGGAATGCCTTGCATGTCACATAAGCTGCACTGCACATATCTGAACTGCACATGCATTAAGCTGACTGGGCACAAAAGGGGCAGGACTTGTGACCTATGCCGCCGAAGTAGTTCACAGCTCATTGGGTCAGGGGGGGTGCTGTCAGAGATACCGTCCACCGGTGTCCCCACACCACATACAGGTATCTCTACAGGAGGACCAAATGTGTGACCACACCAGACAATGCTTATGAGCACACAGTTTATTAGGCACACCGAAATCAAAGTAACCGCAAACCACCCCACCGACACCCACAAGTATCAAACAATAACTAAATGCAAAACAACAAAACCACATACAAAAGGGCACGTGAAAGCTGGAGAGCACGGCAACACAAGGGGAGCCACGGAGTAATGGTCAGGGTACAAGGGGGCACCAGGATGCAGGAAACAGGTCACAGGATATGGCGACAATACTGTGGCACCAGGCTCACTGCGGGGAGGGATTAAATACCCTTCCCGGGTAACACCAGGTGGTGCCTAATTGCAGAGACACCTGCAGGTGAGCCCTGGAAGTGCAGGTCCCGGTTCCAGCGTCACAGCGCCACCTGGAGGTGCTCAAGTGCCAGACAGCCACTGACAGCCCAGAGACACCTGCAGGTGAGCCCTGGAGCTGCAGGTTCTGCTCCCCGACAGGTGCACTTCGCCTTATTCCCCCCGTGGTGCTAAATTACCTTGTCACAGCACCGCTCTCAACCAAGTTTTCAAGCCCTCAAATGGCTGATGACAAAGCTGGTCACATGGCAAATTCAGATCTATGTAGAAGCCAAGATGGTTCCTTCCTCCGGGGATCGAAGGTTAGTTTCACTTTAAAGTGTATTTCTACAAACTTGACTGCAAAAGTAGAAATAGACTTTAAAGTTACCCGGGAGGGTATTTAATGAATAGGGGGGAGGGGGGACAAGGTCATTTAGCACCATGGGGGGAATAAGGCGAAGTGCACCTGTCGGGGAGCAGAACCTGCACTTCCAGGGCTCACCTGCAGGTGTCTCTACAATTAGGCACCACCTATTCATATAGCAAACCGAAAATAAAATCTTACCAGTAGACTTTTCTTTGGAGGGGCCTCTGGGCAGACTGTAGCTACTGTGAACAATTTCAAAGCAAGTCTGTCCCAATGTAAAGTGAGGACAGGGTGAGTTTCCTCTCATTAGCATACAATGCAGAAGCCGGGCTCCTTTATATATTTCACCATTTGTCAGGACAATGTTCAAATCTAGTTTACAACGGATACTGAGATCTGCCAGCACAGTACAGACAGAGGCTCATTATGGTAAACGTGAACTCCCCTGCCCCCTACTGGAAATGACATAGAATGGGAAAAACTCCAAATGCTGAAGATTTTAGAAAAGAGAAAAGAAAAATGGTGAGCAACAATCTCTAAAGTGAAGCTGTGTGAAGGGGAATGCGTAACACATATAAAATATGAGTTCTCTCAACTTGCAGCAGGCACAGGTAGTGCAAGGGGTTACCTCTACTGTGACATCAATCAGGCTTCTGAGGAATGTTTGAACTAATAAAGGAGTATTAGGTGACCGGCCTGGAGGTATAGAACACTACAGTAGCAATGAGCGGTCACCAGTTTTACAGACCTACGCAGGCGTGAGCTTTATCTGACCTTCATCTGGAGAAAAACCCCCATCCGCACACAAGAACTGGCTGTTAAAGAGGCCAAAACACCTTCAGAGCTTTCACTACAATCCAGTATAGATTCAGTACAATGTTAGCCAATAATAGTAGCAGTCTGAATCCAAACTATAGATCGATATCTACACCGATCAGCCATAACATTGTGACCACCCACCTAATGTTGAGTCGGTCCCCCTCCTCCTGACCCGTTGAGGCATGGACCCCACTAGACCTCTGGAGGTGTGCTGTGGTATCTGGCACCAAGCTTTCAGTTGCAGATCCTTTAAGTCCTGCAAGTTGTGAGGTGATCGGCCTCCATGGATCGGACTTGTTCTTCCAGCACATCCCACAGATGATTGATTGGACTGAGATCTGGAGAACTTGGAGGCCGAGTCATCACCTCAAACTTGTTGTTGTGTTCCTCAAACCATTCTTCATCCATGTGTGCAGTGTGGCCAGGCTCATTATCCAGCTGAGAGAGGCCGCTGCCATCAGGGAATAGCGTGTCCATGAAGGGGGGGGGGTACTTGGTCAGTAACAATGTTTAGGACGGTGGTACGTATCAAAATAACATCCACATGAATGGCCAGACCCGAGGTGTCCCAGCAGAACATTGCCCAAAGCATCACACTGCCTCCGCCGGCTTGTCTTCTTCCCATAGTGCATCCCGGTGTCATCTCTTCCCCAGGTAAGTGACACACACACACCCGGCCATCCGCATGATGCACATCAGACCCGGCCACCTTCTTCCATTGCTCCGTGCTCCAGTTCTGATGCCCACGTGCCCATTGTAGGCGCTTTTGGTGGTGGACACGTGTCAGCATGGACACCCTGACCGGTCTGCGGCTGCACAGCCCCGTACACAACAACCTGCAAAGCTCTGTGTGTACAGACACCTTTCTATAAGAACCAACATTCACTTTTCCAGCAATACGAGACCCAGTTGTCTAGACATCACAATTTGACCCTTGTAAAAGTCCCTCAAATCCTCCCACTTGTCCATTATCTTCTGCTTCCAAAACTTCAACTTCAGGGATACAAATGTTCACTTGATGTGATATATCCCGCCACTTCCAGGTGTCATTGTAATATATCCCCCCACTTCCAGGTGTCATTGTAATATATCCCCCCAAAAAGAGAGAGAGAGAGAGAGAGAGATAGAGAGAGAGAGAGAGAGAGAGAGAGAGAGAGAGAGGGAGAGGGAGAGGGAGATGTAGATAGAGAGATAGAGAGATAGAGAGAGGGAGAGAGGGAGATATAGATAGAGATAGAGATAGAGATAGAGATAGAGAGAGGAGAGATAGAGAGAGGGAGGTAGGTATAGATAGATAGAGAGAGAGAGAGGGAGGGAGGGAGAGAGGGAGATATAGATAGATAGATAGAGAGATAGAGAGAGAGAGAGAGAGAGAGAGAGAGAGAGAGAGGGGGGGGGGGAG